CATGTATAGTCAACTTTTCCCCTGGTTTAGGCCATCTGTTCAGCCACCAAGCTAACAAGACAACGCCTTTGTCAGCAGTAGAGCCTCAGATGACTGATGAGCAGAGTAACTTTAGGAATATCATTTAGGCTTAATCAGGAATTCACTAAGAGTACTTTGTCATAATTTAATTTCTGCAATAAACCTAATGAGAAATGTAATATACATGCTCAAAGTAATTAGCTACTGTTGTCTGAACTATTCTTCAAAGGACTTCCAGTCATTTTTTTTTTTGTGCATTACTACGGTTTCTGTAAGAACTGGGACATCTGTGGTGTTTTCATCTAGTTAATAATATTAACTGAATGTTCAGCTATCAGTTTAATAGATAACAGTTAATGACTTGAGGTTCCCAAAAGGTTTTTGTAGTAAAATTAACTAAAACTTCTCATCAATTTCACGAGAATTCCTTAGTGCAAGCTATTTCACTATCCTGGTTCATTTTCAGGTATGCATAGAAAAATAGTGAAGGGTATGCTGACAAAGCTGATAAGAAGTGACTTCTCTGGACATTGCCAGTATTATCCTCAAATAGAACTTCCTGCAGACTTCGTTTACTATACATATAATTATGTCATTCAGCAATCTGATTTTTAGGTTATTTCATTAATTTCATTAATAGAAGGGTCAGAAATGATGATTAAAATATTTCTTGATGATTAAAATATTTTCCATTGTCATCAAATTTTTTTCTGTCCATTTTAAAGACTTCAAAGCTGTTCTTGTCATGCAGTGTTGAATAGAAAATGATTTGTAGTCCAGTACCATGAAATACACCTGACATGCTTTCCTCCAAAGACAGGTCCTAGAGGAGGCAGAGGGCAATCTTGATACAAGACAGTTTTACAAGTGCACCCAAAGAGTGAAAGTGAGGAGTTTGATTCAGAATTAAAACCTCTCCCAGTTGCATGAGCTCCTGTACAAATTCCAGAGAAGCCCTTGCAAAGGCTGGGGCCATGGAATTCCAAGCTCAGTTTCTAATCCACTCCAAGACATGGCAAGAAGGAAAAGTTATAGCAGAGATTACAGTGCAGACGTTCAGAAGTACATCTGTACACCACAACAGACATTTAAAATCATACAATAAACAGAATGCAAATTCAGATGCTTATGCTACTCAGTGAATAGAGATTCATTTGGCAAAACTAGGAAATAGGAAGCTACATATGTGCATACAGTTAAAAGAAAACATCAACTTCATTATGATATAAAGAGAACCAAGAAGAGACAGAGCCCATGCTGAGAGTCAGCAGGCAGAACATGGCTAAAATGGGATTCAGTTGCCTAAATATGGACATCTGGTGCCATTTTAGGTGCCCCAGGTTATCCAACACATCTGCAAGGGCCTCTCAAATATGAGTGGGCGGCACTCTTTTGCAACCAGTAACTGAGCAGAAGATGACTTTAACGTATCTAAAATTATAGTGTTTGCCTAAGTTTAGGAAAATTAATTACATCCTAGTGATTTAGGCCCTTAATGTCCATTAGTTGCAGTGCACATTAGTCACATGAATAGCATTTTAAATCTTCCCATGGTCTAATCGCTACTCCTGCATCACTTTTACTAAGTCAGACCAAGCTCAAAATGAAGTACTTACCTCAGCTCCTTTCCTGCTGTCCTCTTGTGGGAGATGGGCAAGAGGAGTGTAGATGGTAGGCCATTTTCTGTGCTAGACTTCAGCTTCTTTTCTGCTTGCTGCAATGAAAAAGACATCTAGGATGATACAGTGTGGCTGGTACCTAATATTGTGATAAATACTGATTTTCGGTTACTTCCTCTTCACTCAACCTACATCAGAGATGCAGAGAAAGCTGTGGGTCTGACTGCCCATTCCCTACCAGTTTTGACAAACTCTCACATATGAATGAGATTTAAATGCACGCTGGGTTTGTACAGAATCGTATAGCTAAGGAAGAGGAAAGATCTCCACATTAGATCATATACTTTTTTAGTTATATGATGCATTAAAAGGACCTGATTCCTCAAAATGCTTTTTCACTTCTTTTCAAGTGCAAAGTTCCCTCAACTCCATAGGTTTTTCTCACAGATGGAAGGCTTAGATGGTGTGTTGTCTGATACTTAACATGACTAGGAAGTGAATCAGAAAAGAATACCTTTCTTCTGACATAGTAGACTTACATAAAATACTTCATTTGACTTAGCTGTATAAATATTGCTGCAATTGGAAATGACCAAAAGATCAGTCAGTTGGATCTCAAAACATTGTTAATTATTGAGGTGCTAATAAAAACACTTATTAACTTAAAGTCTGAAAAATGCATACAGAATTCACCTTTTCTGTTCATTGTTTATTTTTCATATTGTCTCTTCTGTTCAAAAACATGTAATTGCATAATTGTTTACATTAGAATTAAAAATATATTGAGTTATTCTATTTGTACAAGACAGTTAAAATTTTCAAATAATCTAAATCCATTTGCATTTGGTTCTTATTTCTAAATAAATAATTTACAGTTAAGGTGACTTGAATCACAAAATTATTCATGAACTAAAACTACTGAAAATGAAGAAAACATTTGATTCATGTTGTTTTATTTGTTCTATTGTGAGCTAGATTATCACTGATTTACTTAATTACATTACTAAAAAGCTGTTATTTGTACTTCATTTTGCCTATTAACAGGTAATACAGGCAGCATATACAAACCAAACAGTGTGTTTAATTTGAGCAGTGATGATACCACAAAGAGGGCAGTTGAGACTGTTTCCTAAAGCTCTTTCTGAAACATGAAGTGGTGGAACTTACACTGAATTAATGATTTTATATTTTTCTATAGATGAAAAAAATATTTGGGAAACTTCCAGGGTTCAAAGAAATCCACGTATTAGGATTTAAGTAAGTAAGAAAATTGGACTAATTTTTCTATTGGCTACTAGGATTCTCTTCTTCCTTCTTTCCCTCCAGCATGAAAAGACCTATGTAATTGTGGGTTGTGTATTGCTATAAAAAGAAAATAATTTTCCAATAACACAGAGACAAGATGGAGAGAAGCGCAGATACGTCCCAAGTGAGACTATGAGGTTTTGAATTACTAAGCAGAATTAGCTTTGATTTCCTGAAGGGTGAAGTAATCAATAAATCAGCTGAAATTCTTGACTAGCAACATTTTATTAAGGACTTTCTTAAATTACAGGGTAAGGAGAGTTAGGAGTATGATTATTGGAGTATGGCTACTTTTTTGTATGTGGACCTTATGTCCTTCATAGATCACAGTGAAGGTGCCTTGGCAAGAGAAGGTTGCAGGAGAGTACACATTCACACATATAAAACTTTGCCAATAGGTGTTTCCAGGTATTTCAAAAAATTTAAAATATTTCAATTTTTAATAATTTTTTTGTTCTATCTTGTCATTTCTTTTAGTTTTAGCTTCCTTGTATGTTCGCTGTTAATACAAGCTACTGTGTATTTTTTCAATAGAGAATCTATAGGGGAGGCAGGATCAAAAACTGAGTATTTGATATGGTAATGCTTATATAGATAAGAGCACATTATGTAAAGAATCAAGGGAAAACCAAATTACTAATAGTAAGAAGTAACATTAAATTGAAAGGAAATAAAGAGCAAGAAAAAAGACATAAATTCATGTGAGCTTATGGCACAGCATCAGGAACATTCAGTCCTTCTAGTAATATATAATACATGTTGAAATATATTCATATCACAATGCAATTTTAGACAGGGGCATACTTCTTCCTAGCTTTTCTTTATGCAGAATTGATGGGGGAAAAGAGAAAAAGGAGCAAAATAGTGTGAAAATTAGTTGATTACATTCTGATTATGAGAGTAAGAGGAAAAAATGCTGGCTACTGCAGAACAAGCAGAGAAAATCTGTAGTAGCATCTCACAGTTACAACTTGCAATAACTAACCTCCTTCAGTTGTGACTCCAGGAGATCTGCAATCCATTTCTGTTTAGTTTCTTGGTCTTAGGAGCTGATATGAAAGTACATTAATCAATGTGGAAAACCAGGATTGCTGGCCATCATCTAGTAAGTTAGTTAGGTCCTGTCCTGGAAGTTACAGATCAACAGAGACAGGTCTTACTGTCTATTCTCCCTTAGCCATATTGCTACATATATTAGCAGCATTTCCCACAAGGACAGCATTTGGAGATATTCAAGGTAATTCATCAAGGAAAATAACAGGGCATTATATTCAGAAGGTCAACATAGCCATGTCTTCCAGAGGTAATTAATAGATCAAGTTACCCCTGTGACTAGGATCGGAGTAGGCACCATGTGTGGTAACAGTAAGAGTTGCTACTACTGTCATAGGTGTTCATTGCCAACATACAGATATAGATTACCAATGACAGTGCTCAAATTGCACCATTTGTAGTGGGAAATAGGAAAGCGGATATTTCAAACTATCAAGGTAAAGTAAAATTTCTGTTCCCCCAATCAAAGCATGGAGATTCCTATTGTTTGGAAGGGAAAAAGTGAAATGATAGACAGTAGGCTGTCATTTTCACACAGATATAAAAATTACAGATGACACATAGAAGATAAGTTGTCAAAAGATGTTTTTGACATACAACTGATTGATTTACCAGTATACATGAATCTTTGTTTTTCTCTCTTTTGCAACCCTTTATCACTTCCTTTCTTCTGTGATGAAATGAAGACGGAAGAAGGAGAAAGATGGGTAATTTGTCTCTAATTCATAATTAAGATTAATAATTTTATAGATTATTAGATGTAGATAGATACGTCAATAACTGTTCTTTATCTTTATGTAACAAAGTGATTTGATTTGCTTTCTAACCAAGTACAAAATCAGTGATATAAAGCAGCAGGGACAGCTTTTACTTTAATCTGAGAGGTTCATATAATCAAATTTTGTCAGGATCTCTTTGAAAGAAAGATAGTTGTTTGACCTAAGAAAATTCACATTCAGATGAGTAAAGATCTCTATCAGTCATAAACTGAAAGTAAAAAAATAGAGAAACTTCCTATTTAAATTTTCATTTTTGATCTGCTGTTTCCTAGCTGTATTCCTGTATACACATTATCTTCAATAAGTATGTAGAATTTGATTTGTAACCTCCATTATCAGGCCAGATAGAATGGCAAAGAGACCAGTTACTGGCTTGATAAAATGCAGGGAGCTTTTGACTGGTAATACAAAGAGCTACAGAGTCTTTTGTTGTTGCTTAAAAGTGCTGCTGGGGAATAATTTGTGTAACAGTTCCCAGAATTTCTCTTTTACTCATAGTTTAAAAGGAAGAATTGTCTAATGTTTTTCCTGAATTCTTGCGATGTCATATAAATGTAAATTCATAGCATACACCAGATAAAGTTAAATTCCTCTCTCTACAGTTATTTGATATTATAAAAAGCAACATAGTGGAGTACAAATGTTGTACAATGTACTCATTTATCATTTTAATTAGGTTAATTTAGCATTTATGAAAAGTTTTGTATTAACAATTGTGAAAATTTGAGAGTTCTGTTAAACAGATACATCGAGGGAGAAACTATATATATTCATTTGGACTTGGAGAAGCTAACTGCCATTGTGAAAAGTTATTTGCTTGCCACATTAGCTAACTTTCTTGCTGTTCTTCAAAAATGAGTAAAATATTGCTCCAGATATGATAGGATTTTTGCTTACCTGTAGTTTTACGAACTGTCTAATCACTTTTCATAGGTTTTTGTATAATTAATAGGTGATTATGGCTTCTAGTAAACCCAGCATGCATTTATGACTGTCTGGACCAATAATCAATGACTTCCAACTATATTGTCAGTTCTACAGGTCTCTGAGCAGTCAGATTAAATTGGATTATGTTAGAACATTTTTATAATTTTCTTCAGCATTGGAATTTTTATTAAAAATTATGCAGAACAGAAAAAAAGGTTTAAGTATAGCAAAAGAAATTTTAAGATGACAGTCTCATTAGAAAGAAGCATATCTGCATTATTTTTACAGAAGATAATATGTTATGGTTGCATATATTTTTGTTTGTTTGTTTGTACAATCAGTCCTCAGTCAGTAACTTATTTTGCTGCACTGGGTATTTTTGCATCTTCTCCTTGCAGATCAAGCAGCACTATTGCACGATATGTGGTAAACTTTGAGAGAGATGGCTCAGAAATGAAAAGCACAGCAGATGGCATCTCAACTATTGCATCTAATAAGGTTGAAAATCAAAACAATCCATTTTCTCCAAATGAAGAGAGGGAGATATCAGCAACTAAACTCACAGTTACAGACCTTCAGCAACTGGTTGCTATCGCACTCCATGAAGATCAGTCCCTGCCAGTGGACCTTGGAACACTTCAGTTTACTGATGGTCAGTAGCCAGGCCAGTGCCAAGCACAAGTCTGAACCTTGCCCTTTCAAACTGATGTGATTTTAGTAGGGTCTTCTTTGCTTCTCTAACAGATTGGTTTTTTTTGATGTATCGCATTCTCCTAAGCTTTGCACAGCATACAAAGAATGCACAGATCTAAGTTAAATTTTATAGCAAAATGTGCCTTCATAATTATACAGCCTAATTTCCAGTGACATTGGAGGACATATTTCTTGGGTGTTTGTTTAGAAAACCTGGATATTTTACACTCTAAGACAAAAAGAGGAGGGGAAAAAAAAAAGAAAAAAAGAAAAAAGAAAGAAAGACTATGAATATTCACTCTAACATTTTTATTTCACAGTACAGGCAATCTCCTTTCTTTAATAAGACAAAAAGTGAGGTTTTCATCTAAAATAAATTTGTCTTGCCAGCCTGCGGAACAGGAGCCATCAGTGTGCCCAGGTGGCCAAGAAGGCCAACAGCATCCTGGCCTATATCGGAAATAGTGTGACCAGCAGGACTGGGGAAGTGACCGTTCCCCTATAGTCAGCACTGGTGAGGTCACACCGAGTACTGTGTTCAGTTTTGGGCTCCTCACTACAAGAAAAACAGTGAGGTGGCGGAGTGTGTGCAAAGAAGGGCAACGAAGCTGGTGAAGGGTCTGGAGCACAAGTCTTATGAGGAGCAGCTGAGGGAACTGGGGTTGTTTAGACTGGAGAAAAGGAGACCGAGGGGAGACCTTATTGCTCTCTACAACTACCTGAAAGGAGGGTGTAGTGAGGTGGGGGTCAGTTTCTTCTCCCAAGTAACAAGCGATAGAACAAGAGGAAATGGCCTCAAGTTGTGCCAGGGGAGGTTTAGTTTGAATATTAGGAAAAATTTCTTTACTGAAAGGGTTGTCAAACATTGGAAGAGGCTACCTAAGGAAGTGGTGGAGCCACTTTCCCTGAAAGTATTTAAAAAAAAATGTAGATGAGGTGCTTAGGGACATGGGTTAGAGATGGATTTGGTAGTGTTAGGTTTATGGTTGGACTTGATGATCTTAAAGGTTTTTTCCGACCACTATGATTCTATGCTTCTATTCTATGATTCTGTGATTGTAAGCAAGCCATCTAACCTCCCAGTGAATTCAGAGAGAGATACCTTATGGAGCATTTGATCCCAAGACAAAATCAGTGGTGTGAATCACTGAAAGGTGCATTTTGCTCTCAGAAACACAGAGGGAGTGTAAATGACAAGCTGGCTGTGAAGACTCCCAGCAGAAGTTTTGAAGGGTTGCATTCTGTTCAGTAATCCAGCTAATAAATATCCCCTTATAGTTCATCAATGATTTTTTCAAAGCTAGCTCTAGGTTTGGGAAAGTGGGTTAAAAATTGGGAAAATAATTTAAAATATTTTGGTATATTTACCAAAACAATCTCAAAACACACTAAATTTTAGCTGTAGTGTTTCACTTACAAACAGCAGTTATTTTTTACTAAAAAAATATATTTGGATTAATTAATAATGTCTGTAAGAATAAAATGTCATATTTTAATGTAAAAGAAAAGGCTCAAGAAATCCTTTCATGGACATAGAACACTTTAATAATTATTATTTTAATCAATTTTTTCCACTAGTTATTTTAATAACCAGTTTTAGAAAAGCAGCTTGCATGCAAGTATGTTTAAAGAGCTCCTCTGAGGGGTAAAGGGAGCAACTGGGCACTAAAGCCAAAATGCTGAGAATAACAACAGTGTGGACTCTGGGAAAAACTGAAAAGAATTTAGGCTTAATGAACAACACAGTATAATGATTCACCATAGCCCATGCAGATTTAACTGAGCAGCTCACACTTCAGCTGATTTTAAGCATTCTTCCATGGTTCAGCTCTGTGCAGACCTATCCCATTCATACTAACTGAATAGTACAAAGAATACTGCATATAAAATTCCTGTTTTTCTTATAATTTACAGTTTAAAAGAAAATTTATGCCTCTTTCTTCTTAACATGGATTTTCTTAAAAGTAATTTTTAATGGATACTAATTTTAATACTATTTTTTACTGAGTTGATGTGTTTTGATCAGTTTTTAGCGTGCTGAAGTACTGTGCTCTGTCTCTCTCTCTCTCTCTCTTTTTTTTTTTTTTTCAGAATCTATGGTTATACCTAATGATTTTGATAATGATATCCAGCCAATGGTCACTATTCCTCTGGCAAGCCCTGATTTGGTAAGTTAATAATGGTTGTCATATTTATCTCTTTCTCCATGAGAAATGAAATTAAACAGTTTTAAGGTGTACATAACTCTATATAGAAAAGGGCTTTTATGCTAGAATACATATCTGCATTTTATAAATGCTCTAAGGATGAATGTTGTGGCGTTATACTGAAACAGAGACACCATTTAGAGCATTTACAGGTGAATATTACTGCTTAATTACCTGTTCCAATCTTAACAATGTCTCACCAGTACAAGAGTATTTCTGAATGACAGAAGGGAGAGTAGTTGACAGGGATGGTGAAAACTGTCTTTCTTTGACCATTTTTTAAATTACAGGCAATTTGATTAGGATCATATGCACATGCCAAACATTTTATACAGTCCATGACTTCATGCCGAGTTAGCTGTTTGCAAGGCTAAAGATTATTGGCCTTTTTAGCAATGAAAGTTAAACATAATAATGAAAGCTGATTTTTAAAAACTTTTTCAGGAGGATTCCATGAGTGTGGAACTCCCACTAGGCTCCCCCAGCCCAGCAACAGTGGACCAAACAGGACACAGCTTGGTCAATGAATTTACAACTGGAATCCCTGTGCTAAGTGTAGAGATCAGTGCCTCTGAAGACTCTATTAATTTTGTTTCATCTGAGCCTGCATTCCCTACCAAGCCCTCCAGAGAACCATTTAATGACAAATCTCCTCCAGACACAGAAGATATTGCTACTGACCACCAAAGTTTCACAGTGCCTTTCAATGTTCTGGGTAGCAGTAACAGTCCTTCAAAACCAGAGGATTCCCATTCGCCTCCTTCAGTAGATGATTCTGCTAGCTATGACTTGATCACCAGTGGCTATGAGTCTCCAACGGAGCCAACTACCACACTAGCAGTTTATACCACAGGTAGCTTTACTCCACCTAATCTCCTGCAAGCTGGCGATGAGAATAACGAAGCTGAGGAGAAGAAAGAACTGACTGATATAACAGAACCACCTTTCAAGGAAGCTGACCAAGATAGTCTGCCTGGACAAGGTAAGCCACAAAAGATTTTTCCATAAGAGAAAAAGTAGGAGAGATCCAGTTGTTATGATACATACATTCACATGCAAGTACGGTAAGCATTCCTTTCAGTTGTGACAGAATTTTTTCTGGACCCTCAAAGGTGATTATATACTTTTACTTCCTAAAGAAAGAAGAATTTTTATTTGTATTTGTTTTAACTGTAGCTTCTAACAAATTATGCAACGGTAAATGGTTATTCACAAATCCTGAGCATCATGGAGGAAGCAGTATTTCTGGAAAAGTTATTCCAGAAGCATAAGACAAAATAAACCTAGCAGTAAAATACTTCAGCTATTCCGTTGTACTACATCTCAGTCTCACCACCCTGTATCATCCTCAAGCTCTCAAGAAATACTCTGAGAGAAGAAGACTCTGCAGCGTATTTTCAGAGTTTTTTCTGTGAGGAAAAAAACACTGATGAGGTGTATATGGTGGTCACATCTCTGTCTGCGTAACTGATAAGAACCTTATTAATTTCCATAACTGCTCTCATGTTCACACAGCCTTGTTGTGAGTAGCCCCCTTTGATATCTTCCTTGATAGGATATCCTTTGATATCTCCTTTGATAGGACAAGAGAAAATGGTCTCAAGTGGTGCCAGGGGAGGTTCAGAATGGATATCAGGAAAAATTTCTTCACTGAAAGGGTTATCAGGCATTCAAATGGGCTACGTAGGAAAGTGGTCAAGTCTCCATCCCTGGAGGTATTTGAAAGAAAGGTAGACGAGGTGCTCAGAGGTATGATTTACTAGTGGACAGGTACAATTGGACTTCATGAACTCAAAGGTCTTTTCCAACTAAACTATTCTATGATTCCTCCTGCCCAACAGTTAATTCAGTTGTGCACTCCTTACTCACTGCTGTTTCTAGACAATCTCTATAAAACCTCATATTCTGGATGTTTGGGGATTCTTTCTGCCTCTGGTTCATCCCAGCTGCCTGAGCACCATGTGTGCTTATCATAGCTTTCTATTTGGCATAACCAGCACTGTCATGGAAAAGAAAACTCCATAATGTCTTGCAAGAACCACTCTGGAAGTTCCCAGGACTGGAATTCACCCATTCTTTGTGCCAGGAATGCTCACCAGTTTTTTCACATCAGTGGTTATACAAGGTAAGAACTCATCTGTTTCCTTGCATGTTTTTCTGTTTTCTGTGTTTTCTTTGACCATAAACTGACAGGCTTTTCTCAACATTCTCCCCCATCAGTACCTCTCTGTGCCCTTTCACTTGACACTTGCCACTTCGAATGTGCAAAGAACACTTTTCATGGCGGTGCTGCTTCAGTCTGATGCTTGGAGAAGTGAACAGGTAGGTCTAGCTATGTCATTTGTCTCAAGAACTATATACAATATTGATTAGCCTAAAAGTTATCTGTAAATTGAGGATGAAGCTGAATGTAAAAGTTTCAGCAGGCCCGTATTAGGATATCTCAGACTTAAGAAAAAGCTTATAGTATGTTCACCATTGTGACAGAGTTAGAATTGCATACTTGGAGTACTATGAGTAACCTGAAGAGTCTTAAAGATATTAGAGTATGTGATTAGCATATGGCCAAAATTTAATGACAGTCTGCTGCTCTGCTATCTCCGTGCTGTAAACAGCAGGAACAACCTGAAGAGAACAAAACCTGCATCATGTCTTCAAAAAATACTTAAAAATGCTAAAATAAAATGATTAATTGGAGCAAAAAGGTGTGAGAGAAACAGAGTACCATCTATTTTCCCAATTTAACACATCACTTGTTTATATTGTTAAGCTATCCAACCACTACAGTTCAGTTTTACTGTAAGGTTAAGCTTTGCTTTCTTCAAATTTTATCTCCTATTGATGCCCCCCCCCCCCCGCCCAGATATGCAATATAAATGCACATTAACCAAAACAAGTGAAAACAACTTATATTTCTGATAAGAAAATTTTCTTATCCAGTGGCAAATCTTCTGAGCTACATGTATAATGAAAAAGTGTAATATCTCATTCTCCATCTATATAGATAACAGGAAGATACACCCCAGTGCTCGGCAATGTATTCACTCATATTTTTTACTCTTAAGTCTCTTCCCCAGACACAGGCACACATGCCTATCCTATTATTTCCACAGGTGCACACCTGCACCATATGCTCATATTCTGCACACACCTTTGGGGTTTCTTTCTTATATAGTCATCACTGTTGCTAACAAACTCCATTACTCCTCCAGTTAGTTCTCATATGCCTTGCATGCTCCCTTTTAGGCTCTCAAAGTTAACTATCCTTCAGAACCTCTATTTTCCAAACACTATCCCTTCTTCTATAATTAGCATTCCCTTGATGATTGTCCACTTCTATGTTCAGTGCTATTTCACTAGAAACTAATAATCTCTCTCCCTCTAAATTCACCATAATACTGCTGACTTCAAATCAGCCCACTAGTCAAAACTTCGGATTTTCATTTGTTGCAGGTAACTCCCACTCCAAGTAAGACATAATATATATAATATAGGCTTTCATACATTCCAGTCTCAGATCCCATCTTGTGTTAAAACCAATCCAAGATCACCTTTCTGCCTGTGTGCAGAGACAAGGTTTAAAACTGAAAAATATCATCTTAATGCTTTGAATAAAATTATTTTAAAACCATGGTCAATGCACTAGTAAAATAAGAAAATTTTTTAAAACAAACAATACAGATTTTCAGGCTGAGGGTGTAAGATTACCCTTTGCCAGATTATAAATGAATGAAACTAATTAGATTTACATGTCATATAGTCCAGTTGGAACAAATATGAAGTAAGGTGGCACTGCTGTGACTAACATGCCATAACCAATGCATTTCCTTCACACATTAAAAACCCTTGATCTTGCTAGAAATGCTGGCTTTGAGAAATAATCTGTTATGATCAAATGGCACTAAAATTTTCATTTTCTAAATTTACTACAGTCCTCTCTTCAGAGGATTCAGTATCCTTACAGTATAAGAAGGTCCATTTGAGCTCAGCCTTGTATTTTTAATAGTTAATTCCTTGTTAGGGGATAACTCGTGCCACTTGCACTAGACAATTATAAGCAAGTTGTAACTGTGTGCTCTGAATCACATCTCTGGACAGTTTTATGACTCTGTCTACTAGCTACAGAGAGGGCTTGGTCTTCCAACTTTGATTATCTCAGCCATACTTGAGATGCATCACATAGACGGCACTGATGCTAATATCAATTTAAACTGCATGTTCTTCAATTTGAAAGATGCCATAGTATTTAAAACTAATGGACAAAAAGACAGGAAAAATTTAAATGGAGGCCAATTTGCAACAATGTTTATACTAAATTTAATGGGTTTTGTGTTTGTGAAAATCTAGAATGTGCAGAACTCCTGCCAAGACAGATCTCATATATTTGCACATTGCAGTTTCAAAAAAAAAATAAAGAAAAAAATAGTTCTGACTTCTGGTTGAAGATAACAGCATTTTTTCTGATACATACTTAACATTGCTTTCTCAATGCAATTTTATAGAAAAGTATATAGGAAGAAAGGACTAAACACAATTTCAAGTAATAGTCAGGTGTAAGTTAGAAGAAGGCAAAAGTTTCACTTTCATTCTGTAGAATGGTAAGATCATTATGTGTGTCAGTAAGAGCATGATTAAACCAAGCCTGGATGCAAACAAACTAGTTTCTTGTTCATTTCTTGCATTTACATGTTTAGGTTTCTTTTTCATTCTTCCCCAGTTGATGGATTTTTATTTTTTTTTAATTAAAGTATTGTAGAATACAATACTTGTAGAATAATGGCAACAATAACAGATAACTGAGTTTACAGTAAAAATTTTATATATAGACAAATATTCTTTTAATAACCATTTTTATTGCCACACAATTTGGAATGATGGGCTTTCAAGAAGAGTGGGAGGAGAGTATTGTTGGCACAGCAAAACCTGACAGGGGTTGACTGAGAAAACAAGAAGCATTATCCATGAATGCATTATCCATGAATGCATTATCCATGAATGCATTATTGTTGGCACAGCAAAACCTGACAGGGGTTGACTGAGAAAACAAGAAGCATTATCCATCTTCATACCTGAGGATTTCAGAAATACCTTTTAATAAAACCTGCCATTGTTTTGCCTTATTTTTCTTGAGTTCAGGAGGAATGAGACTGGAAAAATACTGCAGCCATATTAATTTTCAGTTCTTTCCCCTAAATGTATACATAGCCTAGAGCAGTGGATGAAGACCTGGCTAGACATGTCTTAGATCATTAAGTTAAGTTCCACTCTCATGCCTATTAAATATCTTATTCCTCATTTCAGAATTTGGCATTAGCTGCCATTCTAAAGTGAAAAAATATAAATGAAAATTATGCTGAACAATTATCGAATAACTTCAGAATATGCCTACATGATACTGCAAAGCTCCAATAAATAGTGTGGCTTGAGGAGAATGTATGCCCAAAAGCCTCAGGACAGACAACTTTGCTGGCAATACATGGCAGAGCAGAAGAGAATACACTCAGCATCGGGTGCAGTTACAAACAAAAAAAAAATCTTTTCTTTGTTGGGAAGGGCTAATGAGAAAATATGGGGTTTTGTCCAGGCATATCTACTACAATCCATTTTTTTCATCTTTTTTTTTTTTGTCAATTTCTCTTTAAACTATTGTCAGGTTAGTACTAGTTATACCTAGTATTTCTATACTAGTATTTCTAGGTATATTTCTAGATATATATTTATATGATATTTCTAGTATATTCCCTCATGTAGAGGGAGCAGGGTAGTTTACAAACAGCTAACTATTTATTTTTTCCTTGTTTTAGTTTCCCATTATACCATAGAATCATAGAATGGCTTAGGTTGGAAAAGACCTTAAAGATCACCTGGTTTCAACCACCGGGCTGTGGACAGGGTTGCCAACCACTAGATGAGGCTGCCAGGGCCCCATCCAACCTGGCCTTATATGTGTGACTCTTTTTGTTACAGTCATAAATAATGTTT